CTACAGGAGAGGACTGGGGGTGGGGGGGAGGGAAGAAGAGAGAGAGAGAGAGAGAGATAGAGATAGAGAGAGAGAGAGAGAGCTCTGCAAGGGTTTTATATGATGTGTGTGAAGTCCCAGACTGCTTCCCTTCCCCACCTCATTCTTTGCTGCCATTCCCTAGCCTCACACCCTCTCCTCTCAGGCCTAGCAGCTTAGCTGAAGACAATGCTGAGGCAATTAATAGAGCCCTTTGAGGACTTGTCACAAGAAAGCTCTTTAACTCAGCCACCTGAGTGGGGCCCCAGGCATGTGACAGGGGTGGGGGAGGGCAGCTGTGTGGGTGGGGAGCAGAGGCATAGCAGAGAAACAGGGTTGGGATCCTAAATTACAGGGACAAATAGATGATATGGACACAGCGGTGGTCATTGTTTTCATAGTTTGTGGTTTGTCTCTTACTAGAATTTTGCTGTGCTAATTTGCTGCAGAACCGAGAGCCGAGAGGTAAGATGTTAGACAAACCTGCTGACTACCTGGACTGTCACAGGAAAAATTCCTCTCTAGGATGTAGGCCCCTTAGAGAGGGGACACTGTATGTGTTAGGGGTGGAGTGGAGTGGGAGGTAACATGTCCTTAAATCTTCCTACCCCCACACTGTGCTTTTTGGGGGGGCTGGGGGGCTGGCAGGGAAGGAGTTACGCAGGAAGGAGAGGATCAGGAGAGAAGAGGAACCTGGGTCTCCAGGCCTGTCTCTGCCTTCATGGTGTCTCACACAACCATTGTCTGTAGCCAGGCCAGGCAGGGGCGGCAGAGGCCCAGGTGCTGATGTGGATCCTGGCTCCAACTGTGTATAATGTGTGTTACATGTGTGCCCGCGGGGCTTGCACTCCTGGCCCTTATTCTAAGACTGGCAGTCATCTCTCAACATTCCTGTAGGTTTTGAACGGGCCCAGGCTTCGGTCCTCCAGTTCGTCTGACTACCACTAGAGGGCAGCAGCCAACACAGCCAGGCCCAGAGAATGTCAGCTGTACACACACACACACACACACACACACACACACACACACACACCCTCCAGCCTTTTCATCCGCACTTCTCTGACCTTCCCAGCCCCTGGGGATGCACAGGCCCCAGCCACAAAGGCCACTGGCACCACAGAACCAGCTCACTGTCTGTCCCTGGCCTTGGGCGCAATGAAGGTGTAAGTCTGTGAGAGTGTGAGAAGGTGAGTTAGTGGAGATGCTGGAGGGGACCACAGGTGACGAGAGGTAGCCAAAGCCAGAACACTGAGGGGTGCTCATTAGCTCTTATAAGTATAAAGGTAGAGGGAGAAGAGGGAGAGCCAGGAACCAAGCAGTCTGTAGGGAGATAAAGCAGGACCCAGCCCGCTGGTCAAATGGCACGTGATGACCAGGAGGCAGAATTACCCAGACAGCAAAGGCAGGTGGCTTTAAGAGACCAGAGGAAACCACGTGGCTCATAGTTTAGGGGTTTATATGGACGCTACATCATGTAGGCTTGATTGATTATAACTCAATCTCCAGCCCCTTGTCCCTCCCTGGAGGTTGAGGGTTGGGGTTGAAAGTTCCAAGCTTCCAGCCATGGCTTGGTCTTTCCGGCGACCAGATCCCATCCTGAAGCCATCTAGGAGTCCACTAATAGTCCCTTCATTAGAATAAAAAATGCTCCTGTCACCCAGGAAATTCCAAGGGTTTGAGGAGTGCTGCATGAGACATTGCTATCACCTCCACCACTGAGGAAATTACAGGTGTTTTAGGAGTTCTGTCAGGAACAAGGGGCAGAGATCAAATATATATATTTCTTATTATGTCACAGGTAGATTTTTCATGAGATCTGGTTTATTTTATGCAATAATAAAGCATATATTATTATTATTTAAAAATATTTTTATTGATTTCAGAGAGCAAGGAAGAGGGAGAGAGAGATAGAAATATCAATGATGAGAGAGAATCATTG